ATGTGTGAAACATTGGAGCAGCCCCTGGAACACAGAGGCCAATGAGCGCTGCTTCTGTTATTTCTCATCAAATAAGCACTTTTATGTCATGCTTCAATTTTCCCATTCATTTTGAAGATTTGGTTCACCAGGTACCCAGATTAACAAATGTGATGGTGCATGTTCTTAGATCAAGTCTATCACAGAAAGACACCACGAGTGTCTCAAGAGGACTATTTGGCTTTAAGTGCCAGGGAGAAAACCTCTTCCAAATACACCATCCTTCTCTGCTTGTCCACAGGCATCACTGTTACCTTTCATTTGTTCGTCTCCCTTGAAGTACCTCTGCGATGCTGCTGAATAGCTTGACACTTCATCTAGAGTGGTACTGAATACCTAGCACTTTGTCTAAAAGGAACTTGTCAAGCGATGCTCACTGTGCAGCTGCACCCACCTCTCTGTCCTCACAGCTCCATGACATGGGTGCAGGAAGCAGGCCAGGTCACCTCCCCCAGCCAAGGTCAACAGGAGTAGGGAGACAACCAGCTGTTGTGAAAAGGTTCATGAGGCATCTCAGTGAGTTCTTGGGCATGTTATAGTTTCAGGTTTCTGTTTGTTGACTTAGGGAAGTACTTGAGGAAGCAATGTAGACAGAAGATTCTGTCCTACCCAGTCCTGTAGCCGTTCAGTCCCAAATAAACATACAGAGGCTTTTATTAATTATAAACTGTTTGGCCTGTTAGCTCAGGCTTATTATTAACTAGCTCTTACAACTTAAATTAATCCACAATTCTTATCTATGTTTAGTCATGTGACTTGGTACCTTTTCTCAGTAGCGCATTCTCCTCTGGCTTCCTCTGCATCTGCCTGGTGACTCTCTGCCTTTCCTCTTCCCAGAATTCTCTTAGTCTGGTCACCCTGCCTCTAATTCCTACCTGGCTACTGGCCAATAAGCATTTTATTAGACTAATACAAGTGATAAATTTTTACAGTGTACAAGAGCATTAGCCCACAGCAAAGCAAGACTTTGTTCATGATTGAGCACCGGTGGGCAGGAGGGAGCATCTAAGAGTAGATGTCTGAATAAATTTTCATCTGTATGGGAGTGCTAATGAGGTGAGCTAAGCTGTAGAGAGTAAAACCCAGTGAGTCAGCTTGACTGAGGTGTGCTTGGTTATTTTCATGGAGCAATGCTGTTCACGTTTGTGAGCGTGTGTTCATTACAGGTTTCAACTTTGCTTTGGTCCACCATGGATGCCCACAGGGTGGCTTTGTCTGTGACAGTATTCTATGAAACTTTTCCACAGACAACTGAAGGCTCACACCAGATCCCAGAAGCACAAAGACATGACTGAGGGTTGCTTGCTGGTCCCCAGGTGTCATGGCTGGCTTTTGTCTTTCTCGGTGACAAAAAGAAGTTGGAGAGCTTGTCCACAGCCAGTGAGGAGCCATGGTATAGAAACTGAGGGACCATAATGCTAATACAATTCTTCCCGTCTCTAAGTTTAGTCACATGATGGTGATGCAAACTTATGAAAAAGTCTGTTTCTATCTGTCTGATTTTCCGGGAGAATTCCTCTGAGCTCTTGACAGAATCCATGGAGAGGATTGCATTCAGCCTCAAGAACAGGGTTGTCTGCTGATCTCAGTGGGGTCCAAAACCTCATGAATTTACCTAATTTCAGTGGCAGCCATTTTCCCCTACCCTTTCCATATCTCTGGGTGGAGATGGGCTTTTGTTCGTATTCACACCTATGTGAAGAAACACGGCTAGCTGATAATCTCCAGTATGGCTCATGTTAGGTTGCATCATGATTTTATGATACATGATATTTTTTCTTCTGTGGCTTTATACTGGGTGTCTGGAGCTAGGGACTGTGCCAGTTTCAGGGCTGAGTAACAGTACCTGGTCAGAAGATGTCTTCTGGATGGATATATTCTGGATGGATGTCTGGCCCTTGAAATAACTGTTGGTCTGAAATGCAAACAAGCTGTGTTCTTAACCAGATGTCCTTATAGCAGACCAACCCAATGCTCCCTGATGCTGAGACTTTAACAGACCAGCCCTTGAGAAGCAAGGGTCCTGGAGTAACAAAGCTAAAGATGGTCACAGGGAGACCCCTTGGCAAGGCTAGCCTGAGGTCAGTCTGGAGACTCCCGCAAGTTGACACTTGATCATCAGGAATATCTGGCTTTATATGGGTCAGTGAGATATCTCTCATCCACTAAATCCCTCACATTACAATGAACTGTAGAGCCTAACAGGCCGTATTTGAAGAGTTACTGTGGGAAGCTGGAGAACAGGCTCAGAGGTTGAAAGCACTTACTGCTCCTGCATAGGACCCAGGTTTGGTTCCCAGTACTTCCACAGTGGATCCCAAGAGTCTGTAACTCCAGTTCCAGGGGATCTGATGCCCTCTTCTAGCTTCTGCAGCATTGCACGCACATGGTGCTCATCAAACTCACAAAAGAACACAATATAAAATTAAAAGATTTTTCTTAAACAAGAGGGTTACTTTGGCCTGAGATGGCTCAGAGATTAAGAGTGAATATTGCTCTTGGAGGACCCTGAATTTGGTTCCCAGCATCCATGTCAAAGATGTTCATGATTGCTCATAGTTCTAGCTCCAGGAAGTCTGAGACCATCTTCTAGTTGCACTCACACATGCATATCACCCACATAACCCACATACACACATAACCTACATAAACACATACACACATAACCCACGTACACATATACACATATACATACTTAACCCACATATACACATAACCCAATTACACACATAATCCATATACACACATAATCCACATACGTGCATACATACATATACACATAATTACAAATTATTTATATATATATACATATATATATATATATATATAGAGAGAGAGAGAGAGAGAGAAAGAGAGAGAGAGAGAGAGAGAGAGAGAGAGAGAGTCCAGCAGTGGTGGTACATACCTTTAATTCCACCACTCAGGAGGGAGGGGAGGGCGTATTTAACAGCCAGAAATACTCAGAGAAACCTTATCTCAGAAAACAAAACCAAAACAAACAAACAAAAGAGTAATATGGGTGGTTTCTGGAAACAAGCCTCCCTCTTACTGTCTTCCCCACGCCCTCCAGTGGAAACATCAGATGCTCATCCATCATAAGTCCCTGGGAATCCAACATCCTCACTCTAGTTCTACCTCATTCTTTATTGAGTTTTCTTTCCTGCCCAGTTCCTGCAGTTATTAAGTCCCAAAGAAATCACACAGAGGTCTACATTAATTATAAACTGATTGGCCTAGTGTCTCAGGCTTCTTATTAACTCTTATAACCCATATTAGCCCATAATTCTTGTCTATGTTAGCCACACGGCTTGGTACCTTTTTGTGCGAGGCAGTCACATCTTACATCCTCTGCATCTGGGTGACAACTGCAGACTGAAACTTTCCTCTTCCCAGAATTCTCATTGCCCCGCTGCTGCTTCCTACCTGGTCACCCCGCCTCTACTTCCTGCATGGCTACTGGCGAATCAGCGTTTTATTAAAAATAATATAAGTGACAGGATAAAAGACCATTGTCCCTCAGACCTCATCACCTGGAAAGAGATGATTGCACACTTAGACTTGTATACACACACATCCTCCCCTTCCCACTTAGCTCCAGCCACTCAGCTCTGATTAAATGGCCAAAGTCATAAGTAAGTGTTTTTACATATTTCTGATCTCTCTGTTCATTGAAATCTTTCATTTTCTTAACCTTAATGTGTTTGTTCCTCTGATTGCAATACTCAATACTGAAGATATGTCTGCATAGATGCACACAAGAATATGTCCAAGGATGATCATGTTATTTTTTGCATTAGCAAGAAAATAGAAACAAGTTCCTGAATGGGTTAAATAATCTATGTATATCTATTTTGTGGTTGCCATGGAGCTAGAAGCATGAAGACAGGTCAGAATAGATGAACATGGAAAGCCCCCCCCCCATAGTATATTGTACTGGTAGTCCCAGGGGACAAGGGTATACAATTGCTACATGATAGGCAGTCTCTCCTGGAGAAAGAGACAGACTGGAAGAAAAATTCATATTCCTGCTTTGGTCTTCAGGAGTCCAGGTCTCCCAAACCACTCTTAACTGGGAGATCAAGTCATATAAAATATTCACATGTGTGTCCCTCTCTTTTCCAATCAAAACTTTATGGTTGTTGCTGTAAGCAAGTCAAAGATAGTGAACATTTTTTCCAAAGACAGTAGGCTCGGAGGAAGCCATTGAGGTTCTTTGCCTGGGTATCTCTAACCACCATTCATGAAACCTGCAATAAAATTCCTAATTTATCCCTTATTTGGTCTCTGACTTGTAATTTTACTTAACTCTGTGGGCTTCACTTTCCTTCTTGTGCACTAAGAGGGACAAAAAGACCTCCATGGTCTCTTCGGCACAGGGGATTGGTCCGCTGCTGTCGAAGGGTGTGCAATTTTAGTAAGAATAACATTTTGCCATAATTTTTAATGACTGTGAGCACTGTTCTTATGTGTATTAACCAGTCTGTTTCAGCAACTCCATCTATGTGGTTAACACTATTGCCTCCACTTCATGTAAGAATCACATGGCTCTAAGACTGTGGAGCTGGGGCCAATTTCCAGGCAGTGTAGCTCCAGGATCTATATCTGCAACCATTCTGTAATGCTGCAATGGAGGGTCATTGTCTTGCTGCTTAAGTATCCATTTAAAAAATGGTGTTGAGGGAAAAAAATGTGAAAAGCCAATATTAAAACTACAGTTGGTAAAATTGTCTTCGTAAAAGGGCAACTGCATAAAGGGAGGAAAAGTTCTATTCCTGTATACGAACATTTCAGGATATATCTCTTCTCTATGCTATTATGTGGTCCTATCTGCATATTTCCGTGCAACAAAAAATGCATTTAAAAAAGATGTCTCCTCTACAGCACTCTTATGCATTTTTTTCCTCTGAAAATAACATCATCAATTGCACCCCACGTTGATGCTCTCAATTTTAATTTCACAGATGAAAGAACTCGGTGTCATCTTCTACAACTGCAGCTGCCTGGTCCTAGATTTACAAAGGATATTCGCTTTATATAGCTCATTAAAATTCAAGAGCAGAGTACCTCAGACCTGGTCCAAGAGACTGTACGGAGTCTATGACAATGAGAAGAAGCTTCAGCTCCAGTTGAACGAAACCAAATCGCAAGCCTTTGTGTCGGTGAGTCATATACCTGCATTGCATCATCACCCCCCACCATTTTTGTTCTCCAAAGGCTCTGTAGACCAGCCCCTCCAGTTCCTCCCAGACCCCCTCACATCCCAATCTCATAGCCTGTATTTCTTGTAACCCACTGAGTCCAGTTAGTGCTGTCCCTGTGGACATGGGTATAAGGCCATTGACTATAGTATGGACAGCATAGCAGAGACCAACCCTTGGAGGAAAACTGACTATACCTCCTCTAGAAGCCTTGAACTGCCAATAGTCTCAGCTAGAGGTGGTCCTTGGGACCGCTCCCATATCATGGGATGCTGACTGGATTGATATCATGTGGGTCTTACGCGCAGCCCCAACTACTGTGTGAGAACATTAGTACAACAGCCCAATCATGTCCAGAAGTCATTATTACCGTGACAGTCCCCACTGACCTCTGGCTCTTACAATCTTTCTGTGTGCTTTCTTTTGCAACATTCCCTGAGCCTGTGGGAGTGGAGCTGTGATTCCATTGTGGCCATTTTACAAAAGAAGATACTAAAACTTCCCAGGGGCTCAAAGCCCATCATGTGGAAAGCACCACAGAGGTCCTAGCTCCCTGGGCTGACAGCCAATGAGCCCTTCATCCATGGTTCCCAGATCTATCTACAGTAGAAACCTGATGAGAGCAATCTGAGGGAACCAGTATGGAAAACAGACAATGCCAGAGCTGATGTATTTGCTTGTGGCAGGCCAGCACAAGGCCACCCCTGATGTCTGAGGCTTCTGACTCTGGTGAAAACCAGTACCCCATCCTCACCTCCTGTTAACACCCCACTTCCCACCCGTTCGTGCTATCACTAGGAACTGGGGTTGTATATATCTGGGCCTCCAACCCCAGTCTCTCCAAATTCTAGAACAACTAAGAATTCACACCTGACCGATGGTGAGACCTCCCGAGTCAGACCTGAACCACATTCCTGAGCTCATCCTGGCGCTCAGCCAGTCTTCTCTAAACCCTGCTCCCACGTGACTACTGTTCTTCCTCCCTGGATGGGTCCAGGGTGTCTATGCCATTGACTCTTATGTACCAGAGAACATTTGTTGAAGAGTAATAAACTATATCCCTTTCACACTTTCAAATGAGAGCATATTCTGAATGTCCAGAAGACACTACAAGATGGTCCAAAGGAGGGCTAAGATGCTTGTCTAAAATAACAAATTCACATAAGTACGAAGAGCTGAAAACGTGTATGGAGGGCTTCCATGGGGCGGTGAGACTTTTTGTTGGCTGGCTGGCTGGTTGGTTGGTTGGTTGGTTGGTTGGTTGGTTTTACATACCAGTCGAATTTTCCCTCCCTTCTCTCCTTCCAATTTCTCCCCCAAGCCCCACCCACTCCTCCTCCTCTGTTTCTCTTCCCATATGGGATGAACCTCCCATGGATATAAGCCAGCCATGGCACATGAAGTTGCAATGAGACTAGAGGCTCCCTCTTCTATTAAGGTTGAATGAGCCAATCTAACAGGAGGAATAGGTCCTAAAAACAGGCGACAGAGTCAGAGTCAGCCTCTGCTCTCGCTGTTAGAAGTCTCACAAATCAAGTTACACAATTGTAACATGATGTAGGAAGTCTTACAGTTAGTGGTTACCTGCCTACTGGGGCGTGGCCTCTTATACTATATATGCTGATGCAGAGCCTACCTCCGTTCTTTTCCGGCCTCTCTGTTCCCGTTGCGGATTTCGATTTCTGATCTCCGTTCCAGCAGAGGATTCTGATTTGTGAGTTTACCCCTAAATAAATAACCACCTATTTCTGAGTTAGTATGGGATTTCTTTTAAGCGTCCTTCTTCAGTGACACACTTGCAGAGGGCCAAGGTCAGTCCCATGCAGGTTCCCTGGTTGTCGGTTCAGTCTTTGTAACCTCTGTGAGCCCAGGTTAGTTGGTTCTCTGGGGTATTTGTGGTGCCCTTGTCCTGCTGGCTCCTACAAAATGCAGTAGCAAGTGGTACCTCTACAGAGAGCCTTTTAGAAGAATATTTTCATTGCATCTCCAGAGAAGTAGTACCCCAAAGCTAGAGTGTGTTCCCAATCTGTACATAAGCAACAACGGGAAACAAAGTGGCCTCGTGCCTCAAACAAGGGATCCAGAAAAATAAATGAGAGGCAACAGGAAATAAATGCACGAATGAGCAATGCTTTGGACAGTCGTGTAGCTTGAATTTAAGGTGTGAATCTTAGAGATAAGTGAGTAAGGTTCTTGTCCACATTTAGAAGGGCAGGTATTGCCTTTGTCTATTCTAGCACCGACCGCCATCTCTACCACAGACAGCCATAGGTCCTCAGTTCAACCCACTGACAGTGCAAGCTCTTTATTCCAACACCTCTTCCCTGGAAATGAGAGTACATCTTTGCTCTGGTCTAGGGAAACTTAAAAATTGATATTTTTATCCAAAAGATAGCTAGCAAATGAACTGAAAAACACATATTCTGGTAGCTAGCTTTTTAAAATTGTTTTTATTGAGCTATACATATTTCTTTGCTTCCCTCTCTGCTTCTCCAATCTTTTCTTCCCTCTTTCATGCTCCCCCCACACACTCCCAATTTACTCAGGAGATTTTGTCTTTTTCTCCTTCCTATGTAGATCCATGTATTTCTCTCCTAGAGTTTTCTTTGTTGTCTAGATTCTTTGGGGTTGTGGACTGTAGGCTATTTTTTCATGTCTAAAAGTCACTTATGAGTGAGTAGATAATGTGTTTGTCTCTCTGGTAGTTAGCTTTTAAAATTACATAAAGCTTATTTTCTATTTTTATTTCTTTAGTTTGATATATTTTTTCTTCTCATTAATAATATCAACTATACCTTTAACTTAAATCCAACATATACCAAATAAAAACCAATTTTGACTGACAGAAAATTAATACTTATAATCAATAAATACATCAAAAATTAAGCACCCCAAAATTATGTGATCCAGTCAACAAGTGAGCAGATGAATCAGACAGTTCTCAGAGAAATAAAAACAAATGTTCACTAAAAATATGAAAAAAAGCAATCATCTTTATTTATCAGGGAAATGTTAATTAAACCTACATTAGGATCTATCTCATCCAAGTTAGAATGGCTATCACCAAAAAAACAAATGACAGAAAATGCTAGTGAGGATGTAGGGGAAGGGAGACATATGTGTGTGTGTGTCTTTGTGTGTGTGTGTGTGTGTGTGTGTGTGTGTATTGTTTCTGGTGACACAAACCAGTGTAGCCACTGTGAAAATCAATATGGAGGTTCCTCAAAAACCTGAGAAGAAAGTTACCATGTGTTTCAGCTACACCACTCCTGAGCATCTACTAGAAGAAATTTAGGTCAACATACCTCAGAGACACATGTAGATCCTAGTTTATTACTATGCTAGTTACAGAATGTAGGATGTAGAATCAGCCAGGATGCCCTTCAGCAGATGAAAAGACTTTTAAAAACAGAGTGCGTGCGCGCGCGCGCACACACACACACACACACACACACACACACACACACACACACACGTGAATTTTATTCAACCATAAAGAAAAATGGAATTAATGTCATTCTCAGGAAAAAAGATAGAGTTGGAGATACTGTTTAACGAAATTAGCAAGATTCGGAAAGACAAATTTCATGTTTTCTCTGGTTATCTTAGCTTCCTATTGCTGTGACAAAACACTATAACCAAAATCATCTTGAAGAAGAAAGGGCTTATTCACCTGACAGCTTGTAGACCATCATCCAGGGAAGACAGTGCAGGCGCTCAGGTGGGGGCCTGGAGGCAGGAACTGATGCAGAGGCCATGGAGGAGTGCTGCTTACTGGCTTGCTCTTTATGGCTTGTTCAGCCTGCTTTCTTGTGCTATTCTGTGATCACCAGCCCAGAAACAGCACCATCTACAATGATCTGGGCTCTCCCACATCAATCATTGATCAAGGCAATTCCTCACAGAGTTGCCTACAGGCCAATCTCATGAAGAGATTTGTTTTTGATTAAGATTTTCTCTTCCCAAATATATCTAGGTTTGTGTCAAGCTGACAAAAATCAACCAGCATACCCATGCAGTTTATTTTTATATATGTGTGTGTGCATGTATATATTCATGCACACACACACACACGTGTGTGTGCCTGATTTTGAGGATATATAGACTCTTACATGTGTTTGTTTGTTTGTTTTTTGTTTTTGTTTTTTATGTGTTTGTTTTTAACCCTCAGAGAAGCCTTGCCTTCAGAACTAGCTTCTTGGTTCTCACTCTACTGTTTATCAGAGCTTTGCAATTATTTGTTTATGATGATTTCCCCATAATTTTATAAGCCTCTAAAGATTGCATACTCTATGTATAATTGATATTCCCAGGACCTGACTCAATGCTTTGAAAGCAGCAATAAATAAATAAATGCTGGACTGAATTTATTGGTAGTGAAATCGATGGAAAGTTCCCGAATGTATAAAACTTCTTTAGTAATACATGCCAAGCAAATGCCAAGACAAACTAATTTAAGTTCAATATATTTGTTGTAAAAAATATCTTAAAATAGTACATCATATTTTTGGAAGTTGACAGTCCAAAACTAAATTGAACACACACACAGAATATCTGAAGACTTGAAGAATCACCTGTCCTATAATTATATGTTTGATCATTGCTAACTCACTAAAATTAAACACAAATTTCCAGATATGAAATAGAGTTTTGATCATTTCTAACTCATTAAAATTAAATACAAATTTCAAGTTATAAAAATAGGAATTATTTATAATTTTCTCATGAACCACAAATGGATACTTGGCTAGATTTATCTTTATGACTTCTAGTGCCTGGATACCAGGATATTGTAATTTTCATATATTTAAAGTAAGAAGGTGGAAATAGATCATGGAAGGTTTTATGTCTTGTAGATTTCTTTTTGCAGACTTTAATGTACTTGAAAAAAATTATGCACTTGCTTTCTAGGCCAAAGCTTTGTTTATACTGATCTGAGAATGAGAAAAGTTTCATTTATT